CAGTTAACTCTTGCTCTGGTAGATCCATGGGTACCATGATCCTAGACTGTAATTCCATTCCCGCTGTGCTCGGGTCAGGCTGCCAAGGTAATCCCTTTACTTCGGTAATCTCGGCAATATTCCATCTTTCCGCATCACTTCCTTTTCTTTTAAACTCGTGCGCCTTGATTGCACCATGGGGCGTCCCAATAATTAGCTCTTGACTTTTCTCGTTTATGCCTAGAAACACTCCACTTTCCCATCTCATTTCGAGCTTCTCACGACCTTTGTGCGCAGGTGTCTTTAAATACATGACACACTCACCGAACTCTGGGATTTGCTTGTTAAATTTTCGTCCCCTGCACCTCTCATGAGCCGTCTTCCCATCCGTGTCTATTGTGAACTTGTTAATCAAAGAGGACGCGTAGCTCACCAGCCAAGGTATTATCTGATGGCTTTCTCCAAACTCAGTTTTATAATTGGCGTCCAAGGCGCTCTTTAACGTTCTGACCTGACCCTGCACTGTTCTAGCGGCTCTCTCAATCTCGCCGTTGGCCTTTGAGTCGCCCACTGGGCTGACCTCAACTCCCGTGTCAAGATCGCACGAAGCTTTAATCCTATTGGCCAATGCTGTGATTGCCGCTTCCCCATCACTTTTGAGTATCACTTTCTTGTACCCGGTAAAACTTATCATGTCACATCCTACTTTTACCGAGTACGAGTCCACTCCCTTTTTCATTAACACTCTGCTCCAAGTCAATTTGGTCTCTCTGCAATGCATGACCAAAATTGGGTTGCCATTGCCGACGCTTTCACCTTCATCTTTTCTTCCTTTAAGCCACATGTAGTCCATTGAAATCACTGGCACGTTCCCGTTCCCCTCTCGTTTGCGTCTACGGTGATTGCGTCTGCGAGCTTTCCCTCTGACGCAATGTGGGCGCCAGCTTCGGTAAGGTAAATGCGTCGTGTTATGCGCTTCAACTTCCTCTTTTGAGGGCCTCATATCACAGTAAACTTTCTTTGGTAACTCTGCTTCATCACCCACAAATACATCTTCCACATCACTTAACTCACTATCGTTGCCCCCACTTTCACTCCCTTCGTCTCCTTCGGTATTAAAGACGTTTAAGTTTTTGCTTGGTCTTACGGGTGACGGGGGGCTTAGTAGAACAGATCCGCCTCCAGGGTTCCCGGCCGCGGAAAACCCTCAGTTACGTTCACTTCGCTCCTGGGATTGACGGCCTCCGCTGGTCCCTTCGGTACTGTGATGTTGAACTGGAATGTGCCATTCTGCTCATGGATGGCTGTTAACTTGCCAGTCGCCTTGTTCATGATGTGGCTCAGGGACCTCCCGTTAGGATCCTTGTCGAACACCACTCTATTTCCAGCGTTTACCATCTCTCTGACCGATCCTAGGACTTTGTTGACCTCTGCTACCTGAATTGGCATACTGACGGCGTTCCCATGCTCATTTTTACCTGTGATCACACGTTGGCCATAATTCTTTATCGTGGTTCCATTTGCTGCACTGTAGTGTCGTCCCTGCTTTGACGCGTCCGTATGCTTAATAGGGAAATGAGTGCCAACTTTGGGGGGTCCTACTGTGTTGTAGGCGCCGGAGTCCACGGTAACCACGATCGTCTCATGTGTTGCACTTGGCGGTGGCACCGCGTTAATCTCTGGATCACATCCCCGCATCTCAATTAGCCCAATTTCCTTGCACTTCGCCAGCCAACTTTTTTCCTGCCTCACGCTTTTACTTATTCTCTGGTCCCACTGACTAGTATGATGACGGTCCCCGTTGTACTGGTGTTCCTGATAGATTCTTCAAGTTTACCGCGTTGTCACGCGCCGTCTTCTTTCTCGCGTAATAGGGCAGGTCCCATTTCTCGTTAACCTCCTCGATCGCAGGCTGGTCTAGCGGCACGTTCATTGCTTCCTTCATCTCGACGCTGAGAACGTGCTTTGGTTGGCCGAACGAGGTGGTTTGTTCAGTTTCGGTGTTTACCAAGGTTTTTCTTGCTCAACTTCGTTGGCGGTCTTCTTGGAGCCCGGACAGTTAATGGCGATATGCCCTTTTCCGCCGCACTTGTAACATTCACGCTCACTGTGTGGGGTGAACTTCCCTTGGCTTCCGTAGCTTCCTCCCCACGAGCTGCTTCCTTTACCTCCCTGTTTGCCTCCGATCTTACCTTTCACATAGGATCCGTAAGTGGCTCGGTAACCTTTGCCTTTTCCGCCCTTGCCACCTTTACCTCCTTTGGTGAACTGTTTGGGTCTCGTGCAGTTCCTGGCTAAATGGCCCATGCCTCCACAATTGTAACACCTGGGGCCCGTTCCTTTACCCTTGCCTTTGTTTACGGCATCAATTTCTTCATATTCTCCACCGTCACTCTCATTGGCCCAGGACCCGTGATTCCACGATCCATCCTCTGACCACCAGTTTCCATCTTCGTCAACCCATCCCGTTTGGTCCCAAACGTTTTCGGACCCTTGACTCATCTCGTTGATATTCCCAATGTCCATTGCATCCTTATTTTTCGTATCTGAGTCAAGTTTCTTTTTACGCGCCCAGTCTTCGCACTTTGAGTACAATTTCTGAAATGAGTCAATGTTAAGCGCGTCAGGCGTTCGCCAACATGCCTGCTGCCATTCGTCAAACCAGTCGTTCGCGTGCACCATTATGGCCCTGAGCGCGGTGACTTTGAAAGGAAGAGGCAGCGAGTAATCTTTGCCATATTTCTCAAGATTTTCTGCCAATGCGCTCCATTCCTCAAGTCGGGTAACAGTGTCGGTGATCTTCTTGGGCGGTTCAGGATTCATGGCATGCGTCATTTTTGATGATAAGGTCGCTCCGGTTACCGCCGAGTACCATTTGTAAACCTTTTGCCAAGCCATGATTCCATCTCCATCCATCAGTCCCTTTAATTTTCCTCTGGCCTCCGCACCTTCAAGTTTCTCGTTCAGAATGTACCATAAGTCTTCTTCCATCTGAGTTTTGTCTCCCTCGGTAAACTCATATTCGCCTTTGTTGTCGTCCTCGGCTTGTTTGGCTTGACTTGCCTTCAGGTACTCACTTGCAGTTAATCGACCGTTCATTATGCGTATGATGTCGTCATCGTCCTCCTCTGGCACAACTCCGTCAAGCGTCTCCAGCTTCTTGTTTAGCATTTTCAGTGCCGGTCGGTAACTCGGCTTCACTTGGGCTAGTGCGTTCAAGAATTTGTCATTCCAGTCTCTGAACTTTGCTCTTTCCCCACTGAAGTTCTTTAGCGCCTGTAATGCTTTATATTCGCTTATCGGTTTACTGCTCCCGTGCTTGTTTCCGCTTCCTCCTTTGATTGCTTCCGAGATCTGACCGAGCCTTTCGATCAACTTTTCTTGTACTTCACTGTTGGTCTCCAACTCGGTGACTCTTTCCACCAATCTACGAGCATCCCTTTCGAGCGCAGCGTTTCTCTTCGTGATCGCTAACAGCATACTGTTGGTCTTGTGGGCACTCTGTAACATTTGGAATGCTTCGGCGTTCGATACCTCCCTCCGGTCCTGTGCTACTCGCTCTTTAATGAACGTTGCGAGTCCAAAGTGGTTCGCGAGTAGCGCCGTCTGAACGTAACTGAAGTCTCCGTTCACGTATGCTTGCTCGCACAGATCGTTGAATCGATTCGGGTCCATGTTGACCCATGCATCTCTGTCTGCCGGCACATTGAGATTAACTGGCGGGTCGCCCTGTCCAGGTCTGGCCGCAGCTGCCGCTGCCGCTGCCATGGCAACCGCGCTCCGCTACCATGCAAAACCCCGAGGAGGGTTCTGCACGGGAGCTTGGCGACAATGATAACGATAGGTCACCTTTATACTCCCGAACGGCAAAGCAGGTCGATGTAGCTTCGACCGTTAAACACTTGAGCCAAAGGCAGCGGGGTTACTATTCCTCCCCTGTCACACGCATGCTTGCATGCCCTCCTCCTCCTCCTCCTCCTCCTCCTCCTCCTCCTCCTCCTCCTCCCCCTCCTCTTCCTCCTCCTCCTCCTCCTCCTCCTCCTCCCCCGCCTCCTCCTCCTCCTCCTCCTCCTCCTCCTCCTCCTCCTCCTTACATGAGACCGTCTGCCGCCCAAACTGAAGAACATCCGAGGGTGCCCTGCCCCGGGATGCACTGGAGCACCCAACGAGCGCGAGGAACACCGGGCACCCTCCCCGAGTCGACCTCGATCGTATGCTTCGGTCCGACTGCAACGTTGGAATGCTCTGAAAGAACATGAGACCCTCTGCCGCCCAAACTGAAGAATATCCGAGGGTGCGCTCCCCCAGGGTGCACTGGAGCACCCAACGAGCGCGAAGAACACTCGGCACCCTCCCCGAATCGACCTCGATCGTATGCTTCGGTCCGACTGCAATGTTGGAATGCTCTGATGGGCCCCAGGCCCACGATAGTGAACGTTTTCTTATTCGGCGTTTCGACATTGGGCGGAAGGGGGGGGGGGAGGGGGGGGGGCCGGCTCCGGACCTCTGCTTCATGCGACTGTTTGCAACCGTGCGTCCCACTGGGGAGAGGGACTCCACCTGCGTGAAACAGTCGCCCAAAACAGCCAAGATCTGTTCCACAGGGGGGGGGGGAGGCGGGTTGCGAGGGCCCGCGCCGATCGGCAAAACAATACATGAGGAAACGACAACAAACCCGTGCGCCCTCGGGCGCTTCAGCATGCGCCAAGATGGTCCCCGTGGCCCGCCAGTCTCGGGGGACCTGCTCTCTTTTTGCGCAATGTGGCGCCTCGTGTGAGGCTTCTTCTGGGGCTGAGGCCGAGGCTTCGGGAGGCCGGCGGCACGAGCTTCAGGACCCCCCCCCTTCAGGGGCCTCTGAGCTGCTCGGGGCCCCTCAAAGGCTGGTTTCTTGACACCGAAAAACCAACTTCGCGAATTCGAAAGGCATGGCTGGTTCTCGGAATTCAGAAGCTGCTCGGGAGCTCCAGAAGGCCCTCGGAGCTGCACTCGAGACAGGGGCCTTTTCCCGCCCGCGTGGGTTCCAGACTTGTGGAGATACTGACGTCGCAACTTCGCCTCCCACATCTCGCTGAGCAGCGCCAAAATCCGCTGCCACTGCTCGCCCGTGTTACCCGCGCTGATTCCAGCGCAGTGCCTGATGATATCAGGCTCAAGTCTCACCCCTAGCATCTCGCGCAGCAGCGCCGACGCCCGCCGCAACTGTCCACGCGTCTCGCACGCGCTGGTGTCTCAACGTTGTAACTGACTGTGGCAGGCCGATCGTCTACCGTCCACGCAGGCTCATTCGTATGCAGGGGCGTAGTGGGCAACCGCGAGGGCGACCTTTTCCCAAGGCCACCGAAGCGGACAGAACACTGCACGTCTCTACACCACACTGTGTGCGCGGTCCCGTGGCTTGTCGCACTTTGTTGCCGCCTGCCGCCGTTGTCTCACGCTCGTGTCCGCCTTCTGGTGCCCGCTGCCGCCCTCGCTCCCGCTGCTCGCTGCTGCTCCAGCCTTTTTGTTCGCCGCGGATTGCCGATGCTCGCGTCTGCTTGCCTGCGGCCGCATGTTTGCTCCAACTCGCTGCTGCTTGCTGCTGCCCGCTCTGGCTGGCTGCTGCTGCCTGCTGCTGCCTGCAGCGGCCAGTTGTCGTTGCTTGTCGCTGCCTGCTTGCTGCTGCCTGTTCCTGCTGCACGCTGCTGGAGCTTACTGCTGCGTGCCGCTGCGGTTGCTGATGTTTACTGCTGCGTGTTGCTGCGCCTTCTATGAAGAAACACAGATCCACTGCAAAGCACAGGGGAGTGGCGCCTCTTCGGGCATCTTTGAGAACTTTTATCATGCGCCTCGTGGGGCCTCCGAAACCTGTGGGGTCCCCTTGAGTCGCACTTTGGGGGTCTTCCGGGGCTTCTTGAGCCGCCTTTCTGGAGCGCACCTGCTCCTGCATTGTAGAAGAATGACGGCATCGGGCTCCGACTTCGCATGTCACATCTCGCTGAGCAGCTCCACCGCCAGATGCCACTCCTTGCCCTTCTCGCACGCGCGGATCCCAACGCTGTAGCTGTTCAAGGCTGGACTGTGATCATGTCCATGAGTGCGCGTCGATGCGGCCTGTTCGATTGCCCACATCCTGCGACTGGCCGCTGTTTGCTGCCTCTTGCTGCCGCTGGTTGAGACTTGCTCGGGCTCGTTGCTGCTTGCTGCTGCTGCCTGGTGTGTCTTGCTGCTGCTTGCTGCCGCTTGCGAGTGCTGCTTTCTGCTGCTCCTGGCTAATATTGGCCGATTCTGCTGGCTCTGCTGCTGCTGGCTGTGCTTCTGCTTGCTGCTTATGGCTGCGCTGCTGCGGTTCAAACTCCTCGGGAACTTTTTGGAAGTGCGTGGTGGTGTCTTGGTGCTCTATTGGGGCCAATTTGGGCTGACTGGGGTCCGTTTTGCTCCCCTCTGTAGCTGTGGCCAGTCGACCCGTCTTGGTGCAACTCGGGGCTCTTCGGGGAGCCTCTTAGGCCGTCTGGGCCGCCCCTGTGGGCCACCCTGGTGGTCTCGAGGGCCGTTTTTGGGCCGTCTTGAGCTCAATCTGGGACCTTCCAGAGCTAGCCTGACTTCGTCTTGGGCTGACGCGCTTGGATCAGGAAGATCATTGCAGTACCCAGAGCTCTTCAATGACTTTTGCTGTCTAGAGTTAGACCTGGCATGCCCTCCTACAGGCGGATTTTGGGTGAAAATTGCAAATATCAAAAGAACATTCGAAACTAGTTTAAATAGTAAAGAAATCGTCACTAATTTTTTGGGGGACTATTTTTGAATTTTCCTCCTGTAGAGGGGCACGCCCGACTTGACCTCTTGAGACATCACATTCCCTGGCCTTGCAGACGTGCTGCAGCGGATTTTTGCGCGAATTTCTGCGTGGATTTTTCCCCGAAGCGGCGAGCGAAAAACGTCAAGAATTTCGCGTGGATTTTTTTTGGTCTTCATTCCGGGCCAAACAAAAAAATCCGCACGCAATTCATGTCGAAATCCGGAACGAGATTCTCCAGGACAATCTGGGCCCACATTATCGCTTCCCGAACGAAATCCGCTTTGCGATGTTGGCGCCGTGAGACATCCTGGGCCCTCTTCCCAAGGCCGGGACTTCTCCGTGACTCTGCCCGGACCAAGGGAGGCAGCGGCTGGGTTTTCGGGCCCCAGGGGAGGCCAACGAGAGGTCCAGGTCCACTCGCTCCCGGGGTCCCGTGGCCGACAGAGCAGGGCGGGCCAGGCGAAGGACACAGAGGGAGCGGGAAAGCGAGGGGCCGAGGAGCCGAGGGAGGAGAGAGGAGTCGGCTATACGCAAGAGTGGCCCTGGGTACGAGTGACCTTTGGTGCGCGACTTCTTGGGGGGGACCAAACCTGGGTGCGCAAGCAGCTGCTGCTGCCTCGTTCTCGGCCGTCTGGGAACGCCTCTGTGCCCGCACCGAAGGCCACTCCGGCGAAAGGCCACCCTCCCAGAGATCCGATGTCGTGATTTTTTAATACGCGGTCCCCAGAAGTCTCGACCCATTCCCCAGGACCGGTTTTTCATCCTGAGTCGTTTTTTGACGGTCGCGGGGCCCGGCGAGGGCCCCTAGAGGCCGAAAATGGAGAAAAACCTCCGTCTTGATTTTTTCAATACGTTGGATCTCTGGGCTTACGTCTAGTCGAAAGAGGTGCTCCGCCAGAGCGCCGGAGATCTCCGCCGAGTGGCCGCCATCGCCCGCGGCGTGCCCTGCGCCGTCCCCGGCAGCGCCTCAGAGCGTCCCGCCCGGCGCGCGGCGCCGCCCAGGCGCCTGGGCGCCTGGGCGCGCCCTGACGCTGCTGGGGCTCGCCGCGGGCGGATCTTCCCCCCCCCCCTGGGGGGCGCGCTGGCGCTCTTTTGTAGAAAGACTCTGCAAGCTCACTTAGAGGAAAGAGAACTATGCACATACACCGATTCTGGCCAGGCCCATCCTCAGCCCAGGATCGGTGCATACGCCCTCCTACCTTGGGCAGGAAGGTCTATACGCCGATCCTGGGTCAAGGATGGGCCCTGCCAGGATCGGTGCATGTGCATAGTTCCCTTCGCGCGATTACTTGCATGGACGGGGGGGGCTTGAACCTGGAGTAAGCCGCGAAGGGCTTGCACGTGCGGAAGCCGTGCAAGTCGAAAGGCACCTGCGCGCCAATGTTCGTCTGAAGAGGGGCGAGAGGGGGGGGCGCGAACGCCATGCAAGTAAGCTTGCCCGAATCACGAATCACAAAAACAAACTCGAAGTGGTGGATATGGCCGATCCCGGAAGCCGCCATGAACCCACAATTTTTGACGCCTCACTCGTACATCCGCGCACCTTAACCGCCGGCGGACCCGGCGCCGTTCCCACTCACCTGAGGTCCGACGCCGCGGAACAAGAAGGCAACGCCGCGAACAAAGCACCAGTGGAATTAGTTCGGGCATGTCCTCCTACAGGCGGATTTTGGAGGACAGCTCAAACACATAATCCGAAAACATATGCAAAGATGCTCGAAAAGGATAAAACATATCGTCCCCCGACTATTTTTTGCTTACCTTTGATGCGAAGGCGAAACCCCACCCCCACCCCCAGTCCCGACCCCATCCCCGAACCCGCGATTCAAGGAGTCGGGACTGGGGGTGGGGGTGTTTTCGGGGTCCAGGAGTGGAGAAATTTCACCCCCACCCCCAGTCCCGACCCCTTGAATCGCCGGCTCGGGGATGGGCGTCGGGACTGGGGGTGGGGGTGGGTTTTCGCCTCCCGATTTGACTGCTCCTCCTGTAGAGGGACAGGCCCGAACACTGGAGCCTTGGGTGCCCCCTCCCTCTCTGCGGCACCCTCCGAGCCGGGTCGACCTGCCCAGACCCCCGGCGCCGTGCTTTTTGCACGACGTCGACCCCCAGAGGTTAGGTCGGCGAGAACAAAACATACTAAAAACTGCGTGTATGTATATCTACATATAAAAGATAAAGAGATAAGAAAACTCGCCCCCTGACCATGTTTTGACTATTTCTGAACACCCCTCCTTCAGAGGGACAGGCCCGACTTAAGAGTGGCCTCCACGTGCTCGCGCTGTCCCGGCGCGCGCTGGCGCACGCGCAGGACGACCCCTAGAGTTAGGTCGGGCATGTCCTCCTACAGGCGGACTGTGGGCGAGAACTGAAAGATAGCCGAACAGTGCCCCAAAGCAGTCGAAGATAATGGACAAACCGTGCCCAGAGTATTCTTTGACCCTTTTTGAATCTGCCTCCTGTCGAAAGACAGGCCCGACGTAACCCCAGAGGTCTGGACCGCTTCTCGGGCACCGGCTTTTCGTCCAGAGAATGTTTTTTTTGGAGGGCCCCCCGGCGCGGTCAGGGCCCCCCCGTAATGAGCCGAAAACGGCAGAAACCCCTTTCCCGTCGTCGTGCTGATCTCTCGGGGGCGGCAAAGAGGGGAGCGTCAAAGAGGGGGGGGCGCAAATCATGGCTGGCGGCATGTGCGCGGCCCAGGGTGGGGTGCCGGGGACGTATTGAAATAAGAAGAGGCGCCATGAAATCTGGGGAAATATCATGGCCCCCGCCATGATATCCACCCCCCTAGTCATCACCTCCCTCTTTGCCGCCCCCGATGTGAGGGTTCAGGGCCCCGAAAGCCGGGCACGACACCGCGCCCGGAGGCGTAAATCTGCCCCCACGTCTGGACCTCTGGGAGCCCACCGCCATCCGCCAAGGCCGGGCCGCCCTCTGGAAGGCGAGGCCCCTCCCCCGGACGTGCGATGCCTTGACTCTTCGAATTCGATTTTTTGTTATATATGTATGTCTGTATATGTATAATATTTGTATGTATGTATATATATATACATATATATATATATATGTATATTTATTTATATTCATTTAATTATATATAACACGCGTCCCCGACACTGCCGCAGTGCGTCACTGGCACCAATCTGGGAGGGGGTCGCAACGTTATGCCGCCTGCCGTTCCCCCCCCCCCCCCCCCCCCGCTCCTCCCCCCCCACAACGCCCGCTTTGGCCGTGAATTAAAAATTGCGCTCTAGTGTATCGATTACAGAATTGATTTGCGCGTCGAATTTGCTAACGAAAATGCGTAGAATTTTCGTAGATCTACGGGTCATTCCACGTATCTTTCGTAGATTCGGCGACCAAATCAATTGGGGGGCGAATCCATTCTGTAGTGGATCCCCTGTTCGGTCAATGCAAATTCCCCAGAAGTCCAGACCCATTCCCTAGGGCCAGTTTATCATCCCAGAACTCCTCGCGTTTTGAAGCAAATCACGACGGGATGCGTAATTTTCGGCCTCTGGGGGCCCTTACGGGGCCTCTGGACCGTCAAGAGACGACTCCGATGGAAAACCGGTTCCCGAGAAGGGGTTCGGACCTCTGGGGGTCGACGCTTTGAAACAATCACTACGTCGGAGGTCTGGGCCTGGGGCTGGCTCTTCCTCCCGACTCCAGTTTTTCACGGCCCCGTCGCCTGGCGAGGGCCCCCAGAGGCCGCAGACGGTCAAGAACCTCCCGTCGTGCTGTCTTTAGAAGCCTCCTAGATGGGGTCGGAGTAGATGGGGTCGGAGGATCGTGCAGCATAGCTGATACATCGGCGAAACATCGTCGACGTGGGCGATGTGTCGGCGATGCGTCGGCGACGTCGACGTGAAGCCAGAAGGGCTCCACATCGAGCGCGATCCTCGCCGATGCGGCGCGATCCTCCGACCCCTCCTCTCGCCGCCGCCCACAGGCCAGAGCTGCGCGACGAGCAAGGGCCCGACCACAAATTCTTCCACAAGAAACCCAACCCTGCCTCCTGGTGCCTCAACTGCATCTGGACTTGACGATAAACCTCGCGGTTGCCGCACCCCCTTCGTCGTCCTCCACCTCGCAAAATCAATCAATATCGAATCGGGAAATCGAACCGGATCGGAATGGGCGTCGGATCGGGCCGCATAGGCACGGAGTCGGAATCGAATCGCATCGACTGGGCCAGGATGCTCAACAACGCCGCGCAAGAGTCGGGCCGCATCGGATCGTCGGAAAGCCAGAATCGCACTTGTTCCCGAATCGCCGAACGATCTGTTCAAGACGCCTTGACGGCTTCCAGACGGCCCGAGAGCACTGCAAGACGCCCCAAGAGGCCTCCAGGAGCACTCCCAAGAAGGCCCCAAGAGGACAAATGACTGATTTCCCCTTAGTTCTTGAAGCTTTTCGGCGTTCTCGCCTCTTCCGCCCCCCGACGCTCCAAGACGGCCCAAGAGGCCCCCCAGATCGCCCCAAGATGGCACAAGAGGGCTCCAGGAGGGACCCGAAGCAGCCTAAGAGGGCCCCAAGACGGTCCAAGACGCCTCCAAGACGGTCCAAGAGGTCCCCAAGACGGCTCCAAGAGGGTACCCAGACGAGGGACCAGAACAGACATTTCGAACCCTCGGCCCGGAGAGGCTCACAGGAGGAAACAGGAGGCCCCCAAGAGGCCGCCAGGAAACTCCAAAAGGCTCCCAGGAAGCCCGGAGAGGCCCCCAAGAGGCTGTCTCTAGGCCACCAAGAGGCTCCCAAGAGGCCCCTAAACTGTCCCCCAGAGGCCGCCGAGATCGCTTCGAAGAGATCCCAAGAATCATCCATGAGGACTCTGACCCACGTCAGCGTCGTCGTCGTCGTTGCCGCCGCCGCCGTTGTCGTCGCTCCCCTTCAGGGTCGGCGGCACCGGCCGTAATGCCTTCACAATGCACACATACAAATCCCAAGATTCCTTCTATTTTTCAATGTTTTCCGGATTGTCGTCTTCCTCCCCGCTTCCCATGTTTTCCCATATTTCTTGGAAGTCGACATTCAATTGTCTGTGTGTGTGTGTGTTTTTCCCCTCCTGAACTGTGCCTGGCATTGCAGGCGAGATGGCTCTGGGCTCCAGCTTCGCCTCCCGCATCTCGCCGAGCAGCGCCAGAGCCCGCTCCCACTGCTCGCCCCCATTGCACGTGCTCATCCCAGCGCCGTAGCTGATGACGTTTGGCTCTGTCTTCGCCTCCGACATGCCCCTGAACAGCGCCAGGCCCCGCTGCCACTGCTCGCCCTGCCCGTACGCACTGATCCCGGCGTTGTAGTTGATGATGCCGATCTCTAACTTCGCCTCCCACATCTCTCTGAGCAGCGCCAGACCCCACCTCCACTGCCCGCCTTCCTCGCACAAGCCGATCCCAGCGCTGAAGATCATCGCGTCGGGCTTCAACTTCACCGCCCCCATCTCGCTGAGCAGCTTCAAAGCCCGCTGCCACTGCCCGCCTTTCTCGCACGCGCTAATCCCAACGCTGTAGGTGACTATACTGTAGTGTGGACCCGTGCGTTAAACATCCACGCAGGCTAGCGGCTGAACGTGCTTACGTATTATATTCAGTGACAGTGTGTGGTCGCATAAACTCTGCACTAATCGTGTTGATCTCATAAGCTCGGAGGCTTTGCGCAGACTGCGGGGGCTCTGCCCGTATCGGGATCATAAAGGGGCCCTCGGGCCAGCTTGGGCTCTATTGGGTTCTCTTCGGGCGCTCCTGGGGGCAACGGGAGCGTCAATTTTCTGGGCGTGGGGAAACGCCTGGGGAGCTCGTGGGACCATGCTGGGGCGGGCTTGGGCTGTTATGGGGCCGCCACGGGGCCGGCTGGGAGGCGAGGCAATCTTCGGTGCTGTCCGAAGCCCGCGGCGCCCGTCTCGAACCGCTCTTGCGTAATGCCAGACATGCTGAAACAGCTGATGGGACTTTCACGTCTTCCGCGCCCTGGATGGGGCTCTGCAGATCGAGGCCCCGTGGAACTTTCTGGAGGCCATCCCGGGGCCCCCTGGGGGAGAGGGGAGGAGGAGGAGGAGGAGGAGGAGGAGGAGGAGGAGGAGGAGGAGGAGGAGGAGGAGGAGGAGGAGGAGGAGGAGGAGGAGGAGGAGGAGGAGGAGCGTCAGTAGCCTGAGGGCGGGCTCCTGTGACGACATTGCAGCGGGCCGCGGCGGCGGGAGCCTAGGCCTCAGCGGGCTACTTCATGATGTTGAGGCGGTCGAGGGCGGCCAGGCGCGCGCGCGTCCAGGTGGTGCTTGTAGGTGTAGTCGTTCACGACCTGGATCTTCACCTCGAGGTGCGTGTAGTATGAGAGGACGAGGCGCTGGATAGTCATCGAAAGCGAGTGCTCCCCGTGCTCGGGATAGTGATGTCCCATGCCCAGGCGCTCCAGTGCCGTGGCCTGCGAAGAAGTACGCGGCAGGCAGACCAGATGCTGGAGCCGACCGCATACCAGGTAGTGGGCGATCGCGTCTGGCTGCTGGAGGCAACCGAAACGGCGTTGATCCACCTCGGGAGTCACGTGCGTGCGAGAGCTCGTGTGCCAGCCACCTGCAAGAGTCCGCAGGGTGATCCACCTACACGAGGGAGCCACCGTCACCAGGAAGCTCTTGAGGATGGACCAACGCAGCTTCAAGCCATGTGGAACAGCAGCAGTCCCAAACCAGGCCGCGAGCCGCTTGGCGATGGTGACCTCGAAATCGTCCTTCATCCAGTGGGAGGTCAGGGCTGTGATGGGTGCTCGCTGCGGCTTGGGCTTGGGACCAGCTTCGAGGGCGTCGCGTACGGCTCGGCGAGCAATGGCCCCAGCGCGAAGCAGATCATGGTGGCGATGAGCTGGAACTTGGGCAGAACGGCCCTGGATCATGTCCTTGAGGCGCTGGGCAATCACCTGCGGCTCCTTCCAGAAGACAGGGGGCCATCCGTGCATCGCGAACGCAGGAAGTCCGCGAGCAGCTTGGGCGATCTCGAAGAACTCCTGGAACACGGGCTGCGCCAGGTTGAGGGTGAAATGAGCGGCGCGCCATTGAGTGCCAAGCGAGTAAGTGAGCAGGGAGCACGGCGCTATACTAGGCATCCAGTTGTTGAGCGAGTGGACATCTTTGGTGCGAAGGGTGCTGGGAGGCATGCGTAGAACTTTGTGAACTGCGTGGATCTCCTTTCGCCTGAGCTGTGGCGGAAGATCAAAGAACTGCGCCAAATAACCGAGGGCGGCGATCGCCGACGTCTGATAGAGCCTCGCCTTGACGTCCGTGGGAGCAGATGTACTGCCAATGGCCACCACTCTCTGCCACCACTTGGATCCAGCAACCGCCCACTGTAGATCGTTGTCCGCGTCGGGGCCCACGTGCACCCCAAGATGCAGCCCATCAACCGCAATCTTGAAAGGGACCCAGTCGGGAACGTGGCCTTGGAGGAAAGCGATGACGTCGTCGAGGGTCGTGTTGGTGGGCTTCGCCCACAAGGGTACGATGACGCATTTCTTGACATCGAGATGTAGATTGCCGAGTACCGCAGCCCGGTTATAAAACAAAAAGCGCCAGCCAACGGAACCACGAGAGCGATGCGTTGAATGTAAAGGCCAAGACCATCGGCACAGGCGCCCGACTTGCCGTCCTTGGGGTTGGGGGCCGCAACATTGGCAGCTCTGGTGATGACGCCCATCGCGATGGCCCAGGTGGTGCCAGGCACTAGGCAGCCATGGGCTACCCAAGATGCCAGGGGGCAAACAAAATAGTATTGGCCATTGAGAATAATGAAGCCCATGGCCTGGCCGTACAGAGCAGCAACCGCCTTGGCAAAGCCCACCTCGAACTGGAATTGGTTGAGGGCCCGGAAGAGCAATTGCCTCCCCAGAGAGGGGAAGGCTGCAATAATGTCGAAAAGAAGCAGGACAGGCTCATCACATGTAGCGTCCGCGCTCCATCCTGCCATTCGGCCTTTGGCGTCCATCATTCGGATGTTTTTGCAAAAACTGCGTGCGCGAATGAATCCTTGATGATCATGATGAGCATGTACTTCCACATGAGAGCTGAGTTGGAGGTTGAGAGCTCCCGCGAAGAACTTGGAGTCGGTGTTCTTCCAAGAGATCGGGCGCAAATTTCCTGCTTCGCGCGTGCAGCAGAAGTGGTAGGTTTCCTCCTCGCCCCTCGGGGTGAACGAGAAGATCGAATCGTTGAACGCGGGCGGGGCAACGCCTGACTCGAATAATCTCCACGTGGCATCTTCCAGCGCTTCCAAGGCCCCCTCAGTCTTTGCCCAGGCTCGGTATGGGGGGCGATCAGGGCCAGGGGCTGACGCACGAGCGCGGAGGGCAGCGCGGCGCATAGCAGCAGCGGAAGGGATGATGGGCTTCGGCGCGGTGATGTTCGGAGGGGCAAATTGGCTGAGGTAGTCCTTGAGAGCCTGTTCATCAACTTGCTTGTGCGAGAAGATGGGCAGCCAGTGATCCTGTGAAGCTTCCACTTGTGCTGCGGGGTCCGTAACTATACCTCCTTCGTTCGCCAGGCGAATCCCAGTCAGAGAAAGTGCCCGTGCAAACGGAGCCCATGCCCTGTTTCGCTTCTGTAGTATGCGGGCTTGCTTGAGTTGTTAATCCGTCTCCAGCGTGCGACCTTGTTGCTGAGCCCGCTGTGCCGCAGCAACCGCGTGCTCTTTGCGAAGCCGGAGGTATTGCAGATGAGCACGTCGCGAAGCTTCCGCAACTTTAAATTCATCTAGTAAACTAGCCCTTCCACCAGCGATGAAAAAGAAGTCCTCGCCAATCTCCGTGGTGTTCATGAGGGTGTGGGCCAGGGGGGGATCCTGTCTCCGAATGGCCCGCTAAGTAGAGCGATGCCGAGCAAACGTGCCTCAGCAGCAGATTGGTAGCGCACTGCGCCAGGGCATGTGGTGGGCTCATTGCGAGTGAGGCGAGCTGCTTCAGTCATGATGTACTTGAAACCAAGCCAACGTCGCTCCGCCGTCGTAAATTGCAGCTGCGAGTGCTGTAGAAGAAGCGAGACATTCTGCTCGTAGCGGGGAACCTGGAAGATGAAGGCGGGGGTCGGTTGGATGCCGTTCGTCTTGGGAACAGCAATCGCAACCGTCAGTTCCAAGAGCGCATGATCACTGAGTACGGTGGGATCCCTGTCGACTTTCAGCGTTAGCGACAGGCTCGGGTAAGCATGAGCAGGGGGACTGACGAAGGCGCGGTCAATCCTGGTCTCCTTCATTGCGTGGGCATCGAAACGCGTGGGCTCGCCACTCGAGACCTCGGTCATGGACGCGAAGAGGTTCTTCCAAAAGGTCCGATGGTGCTGGTCGCCCCCAATGCTGGTGAGGATCATGGGCTGCGGGTCCAGAAAGAGACAGCGGGCTCCTCGTGGACGTTGAGTCGCCGAGGGCAACGAAGATCCGCGATAGCGGAGCAACCTGTGCCCACTGTTGGTACTTGTGCCAGTCAATCTGGACGGCTCGCCGTTGGTCCTGCGCGAGCTCAAAGTTGTGGATATTGATGAAGGCGGCAGTGCGTGCATTGCCGTGGTCGATCTCGAGGACTTGCACGCGTCCTGGAACAAGGGTGCGATGGAGAAGCATCTTGCGATCGGGGATTACGGAGACGTGGTGTGGGATCTCTGGCGAGCTTCCCAATCCTGGCTGGCCAACATCTGGGGCCCCTGCCCCCTCGCCATGGATGGCCGCCCCCCAAACAGTGCAGGCGCCGCCCCTGGGCCCGGGGGGGCGCGTGGGCCCAGGTGACCCAGCCGCGAGAGTTCATCTGGCAGGTGATCAGATAATGAGGCCGATGCGGTGGCTGAAGAGGAAGACCTTGAACTGGTCGGCGTAGATGTGGAACGTAAGGTTGTGGGTGTAGGAGCGCCAGGAACATGAGGCGACTGGCCTTCCATTTCCGTGACGTCGACGTAAGGCAACTTGGGGGAGAGAAGCGCGACGCCTCCCGTCCTCGACAGTCCGCTGTTGGAGTAGAACGTCTCGTAGGAGTAAGGAGTATCCTGCAGGAGTCGCTTAAGGCGAGCTGCATTACCATGATCTTCTTGTACAGCAATGATGCATCCCTGTCGCAGATGTGGAAGTGGACGTTGGAGCTTAGCTTGGCGACGTCGTCGATCTATCGAAAAGGCTGCGAGCACTCCACGTGATGATCTTGAGGCCCTGTTTGGAGTGGCCAGTCCGCTGAGTGTTGCCCCCAAGATATGGCCTTGTCCTCGTCGAAGACGTCGTTGGAGCGCTTTTCCACGGCGGGGCAGTTGATGCCGCGTTGAGCTGCGAGCTCACGGTTCCAGTCAATCTTGGTGGGTATAGCTGCGGTAGTGCCAATCTCCAGTCGAGCAAGAGGAACACTGTCAAGCCTGACTCGACCACGCTGTTTGTAGGGCCCGAACGAAAATTTGTCGTAGTCAGATTCCAGAATCTTGTGAAGCCGTCGAGTGTGGAACTCACGTCGAATTTGTCGGGCACTGCGGTCGGCATTGACATAGAGAGGGGCACGTTGTCCCA